ACCCTCTTGTTGATCCTCAGATACCCTCAGCTAGGAGATAGACTCAAGGTTTGATCTGCTGAACTCCTTGCTTTCAAATTCTTTCCTGATGACTTGAATGAGATTGAATTATGATGATAACCTCTTGATAGGCCTCTAGAGATGAAAATAATGATTGGTCCCCTGTTGAATGACTTGCTATGCTCATGCTATGCAGATGGTTAGTCTATGTACATGACTCTATATGCAAATGCTAATGATAATGAAGCATAAACCAAGTGAATAAGGTTGGGCAAATTTTAGGGTGCAACAATGATCTCTTATCATTTTTTTGGCATTTTTGTTATAATTGGTAATGGGCTTTTGGAAGTAAGAATGAGCTTTGTTGTATGTTTTTTTTTGTGTGAATTGTAACATGTATTGGACTTTTCATATTTTTGTACATTCGATACAATATAGTTTTTTTTTGTAGAACTTTTATGTGTGAATGTTTTGGACTGGAATTGAATTGTCCCGAGTCGTTATTTATTTTGCACCCTCCATACTTATTTGAACTACACAACCAAATTTCACTTTTCTTGAACTTACACTTGAATTGATCCTTGGAAGTAAAATTGATCATGAGTTCCTATTGGACTTGAAATGAATCAAAATGAATCTAACATTGAATCAATCCTTGAACTTTGAATAAATCATATCATCTTGAATTCTTCTTTGAACATCAAGTAACAATGGACAACATAAGAATTCCAAGAATGAATATCTTGCACTGACTTAAACCATGAGGCCAAATACATCAGACTTGGATATTTTACACCTTGATTTCACCACATGAACCTGAAATTTGCACAAAAACCCTAACTTGGATCCTCAAATACAAAGCATTTGAATTCATAACACTCTTGCCTTCCAAATGATCCATAACACAGATGACTTGAGAATGAAGCAAATCCTTTTGTCTGACGAAGATTTAGTCAAACTTCCACTGAATTTCAACCATTACATCACACATGCTTGGGACAAGAAAAATAACAGAGCAGGACAAATTTGTGGTATGAAAGATAGCAACCTTCAGTGTGATGCCCATTGACCTTATGGAACTTGCACCATCTGTTAGGCTCAGGCACCATGACATCTGACTAGGGCGCTGGTGGATGTGGATTGTCATGCATGTGGAGGACTTCACGCCATATCTTCTCAGGATGGGTGTTCAAAGGCGTGAGTCTTTATGTAGTTTTTTTTGCTTCGCTTGAACTCCACCCTGTCTATGATGAGCGAGGTGTAATGATTTTTCTATGATTGCCGTAAGCTGTTAGGGTTAATAATGACACGCTCTTTGATGTCTCTAGCTTTCTGGTCAACATTGCTTTTTTTTTTTCCCTCTATATTAGCATTATGCACATGTCACTACCTCCGCCAGGGAATTTGCGGGTCTATAGGCAAGCGATTCATTCTAAAATAACCCTACAAACATTTCTTAGTTTGGGTAGGCAACCTTAATCGTTGCCTTTGAACTGCCGAATGAGCTAGAAAATTAAATATTTGGTCTGCAATGAACTTTAGTAGATCCTACTGAAATTACCTTGGAGAAGAAAATTCTTCTTTTTCTTCACTAGATGTCAATCTTTAGAATTCACAATCACAATTTAAAAGCAAAAACAATCTTTACAAAAACATTATATCACCTAGAGCAATACATCCTTCCATACATTATTTTTTTCCTTCCCTCGTGTTTTTTGTTGATGACCAAAGGGAAAGAGATAGAGAGTATTTAATCACCTAAATTTGATGATTATACTACTGCTTAATATTATTTCTGAAGATTATGTTAAAGATATTTAATTAAGATGAATATGACTTAGGGGGAGCTTACAAACCTCACCCTCTAGACTATTAGAATTAGGGGGCTTACAAACCTCTGATCTTAAAGTCAACAAGTTAATTAAATCAATAATCATTTTTTTAAATGCTATTATTTGTCATCATCAAAAATGGGAGATTGTTGGAACAAAATTGGTTAATATCATATCCTTTGAATTTTGATAATAACAAAGTATTAAATAATAATTAGACTATGTAACATATGTTCAAGTATGCAGGAATATATTTAAGAACAAATGAAAAGTTGCTTAAGGAATCTGCATCTGAAGATTAGACTCTAGCTTTGAAGATCACTTTTGAAGATTCTGCCTCTAATGAAGATCTAGATTCTGAAGAAGTCAACTCTGAAGAAAGTCAGCCTCTAATAACCCAGACTTTGAAGCTTCAAAAGGAAAGAAGAGGACTCTGATGTGATCAGCCTCTAAAGAGTGAAGTCCGAAGGAAAGTTAGCCTCTAAAGCAGAAGCTCTTCTACCAAGGCAATTCTAACAGACTCGTAGACTTTTCGATCACGTGAAGACTTAAGGAAAAATCTATCTCTTGGTGCCTAAGCTTCAACGAATCATTCCTCTTGCAGAAAGGTGCTTTATTGATGTGTTTAATCAAGTAAAAAGATAGTCCAACCTATTTGATGAAAATCTTCCTAATGACAAATTTATTTCTCTCTATAAAAGGAGCAGGAGGTCTAAAGATGAAGACTACTATACTGCATTACAAGACTCTAAAACTTGACATTCAAAGAGAAGCTACTATGTCAAATTTATGAGACTTATAACATCTTAACTTTGTGTATATTTTAGAAGTTCATAAGTCTTAAAGTCTTTCTAAGTTGTATTGTATTTACATCTCTGATTGTATATCAAGTGTAGTTGTTATCCTAAATCCTCTTAACAGTTTGTTTAGAGTTACTCTCTTGTTTTAGTGCTTGAGCATTTGAAGTTGTAAGCTTGTGTGCTTAAGCAAGGAAGTCTCAGACTTGTGTGTTTGAGGAAAAGAAGTCTTTAACTTGTGTGGTAGAGTAAGGAAGTTTTGAGCTTGTATGCTTGAGCAAGGAAGTCTTAGACTTATGAGTCTGAGCAAGGAAGTCTTATACGTGTGTGTGTGTAAGCAAAGGAAGTCTCTTGCTGGTGAGTTTGAGCATTTGTAATCAAATTTAATTATTGTGAAAATCCCTTGAAGAGCAAGGGATTGGACTACTCTCAAGTGATGAGAGGAATCATAATAACTTATTGTGTCCTGTGCTTTTACTTTACTTGCTTCTGAACATTATTTCACTACTATCCATTGTTTACCTTTGAGTCAAATTCTATTGCAGAATCTGATAAAGATTTTTTAGAGTTCAGACTCTTAATGATTCTGAAGTCATATTTTGAACTACATGTTCAAACTTTGATTAAGATCAATCAGAAACAGTAGTAAAAAAAGTTTGAAAAAACCAACACAATTCAACCCTTTTATTGTGTTTTTTTCACTTTCATCCACTTCAATAATAATTCTAGATGTTGTTCATTTACATATTTATCTTTACATCAATCATAAAAAACTTTTTTATTTTTTATTGAAGTTATACTTTCTTCATTTTTTTGATGATGTTCTAGATATCTTCATTTATTTTTACTTGGCATAATCAAGACTCTTAATTCTTCTTTGCCATCATCAAAATCTATTAACCACGTAGTAGAACCACATAATGAACAATTTCTAATAGACAAAATGATCAATATACTTGGACCGATTAGAACATTTATGTTAGAAAGAGGGGTTAGACCATGTGCTTGAGATTTAGACTCTTTATTCTCTTTAACCTTGACTTTTGGCAATCGTTTCTCTACACCAAAAAATTGAGACAAATAGTATATTATACACAACACGCTCCTCAACCTTAAAAAAAAATAATTATTGTGACGGTTTCTTACACTAAATGGCAACAAATTGACATGGTAGTTTTCAAATTTGGAGTCAATCGAAACAAAAGTTAATAAAATCACATTCTAGAAAAATTTGCATGACCATATTAAGTTTACGATACTAATAATAACATATCAAAAAGTTTCCATAGTTAAGTAGATTAAGAAATGTGAGTTTTACATAAAAAGAAATGTAGGCTTTTTATTTGCATTTTGTAATATATTTTTTCAATAAACGAAATGAAGTTTATTAAATTAAATTGAATTATTATAAAAAATTTATTATAAATTGTTAATTTAAAATTATTGCAAATTACCACATTACAATTTAATTTTGTTTCGACACTCAAGTGTTGTTGCACCGATGAGAAAATCAATGTAATGAACACTCTTATTCTTAAATTTAATTGGGTACTCGTACTCAATAAAACACTTAATTTAAATGTCATGTTACCTTTTATATATTTTTTATTCAAAAATAAATTAATATTTTAAATTATTTTGCAAGTATCAAACTATTTAGTATGAATATCTAAGAATTTGCCAATAAATTATTCAGACACACAAAAAAAAAGTTAATTTAATATGAATTTTTAAAAATTAATTTTTTTATTATTATAAAAATATTGAAAAAAACATCTATCATTGAATCATATTTATATTAAATGGCCTCAAAATTTTAAAAGTTATGTTATTATTGTAGTAAATTAAATAGGTGTATTTTTGTGTTTGTGCAAGTGCAACTGAATTAATTATGTCTATTTTTGTATTTATAGTTAGCGTGCTTTCCACGTAACCAAAACCCTAAGTATCAGAATATGTAGCCAAGATAATCGCAACCCTTAGGATAATAATTTGTATGTAGCGGCGCGTGCATTAAACAAGTCTTTGAAAATTAAAACCCCGCAATATCACAGGAATAAATAAGAACCGAGTGAGGGACCCACCCATCATTGCACAAATCACAAGTTGAGTTTGAGAAAGGTGCAGGAACTTACCAAGAGCCGCATCGCACACGAACACTCCCAAAACACTATAAAACCCCAGAACACAATATAAAACCCTTCAATCTCTATAACAACCCTCCCATTATTTTCTCTCTTCTTCCAAAAACCTCTCTGAACTGAAACAAATAAAACCCCAAAACACAATATAAAACCCTTCAATCTCTATAACAACCCTCTCATTATTTTCTCTCTTCTTCCAAAAACCTCTCTGAACTGAAACAAAAAAAATGAAGAAACTTTACCGAAAGGGAACGGTTCATCCATCATCGCCGCCATCGGTATCGGAACAATTCTCCTTCCTTCCGGCAACAATCCTCACTCTCATCGTCGCTCTCTCACCGGAAGACAAAGAAGTTCTCGCTTACCTCATCTCATGCTCTTCATCTTCTTCTTCATTTTACAAAAACCCTAACCGGAAAACCAAGGAAACCGTTGGAGGAAAACATCTTCCTCTATTCCATTGCAACTGCTTCCATTGTTACATGAGTTACTGGATTCGTTGGAATTCTTCACCGAATCACCAACTCATTCACACAATCATCAATGATTTTGAAGATTTTCTCTCTCAAACCGAGAATAAAAGAAAGGAGAAGAAAAACAGAAAAGCATCCAACAACAACCACATAAACAATAAATCGTCTGAGTCAAATCGTTCCAAGTTGGAATCGGTAACGGAGAGTACTACTAGTGGTAGTGGTAGTGATAGTGATATTGTTGTTGTTAGTAAAGAAATAGATTTTGTTGATTCGGTTGAAGTTGAAGATGAAAATGAAGAGAAAGTAGGTTCAGTGAGAAAGCTTATGAGTTTCATTAGAGAAAAGGTTTGGTTTCGATTGTGTGTTTGGAGGAGATGAATTCATTATGAACGAAAATAAAAATGAGATAAGTTAATTTTGTTTACCTTTTATATTTTTAATTCGTTTGTTTTGTTTATTCTATATAATTTTTGTTTCATGTTTGTACATTAATAGCTTCCATGTAATGCATAAAAGGAAATTGGGACCTTAGATCCAAAAAAAAAATGTAATTTGTTTTTGTGTTGAATCAAGTATGAGAGATTTGTTGTTACACATTTGAATTTGGAACACCCTAGAGGATTTATGATTTAGCGAATTTTGTGGCTTGAATTTAGTGTTTTTTTACTGACTAGGTTTTTTCTAGGGTTGCTGGCGGCTACATTTCTCTTTTCCCATAAGTAAAATTGAGTAACAAAAAGGATAAGCAGAAAAAAAAAAGTGATTTTAAATAAAATATTAAAATATTCTTCAATAATCAATTTCAATCTTAATTGAAAAATGATACACATGCTACAATTGTTGTCACTCACTTAAAACAATAGTTCAAAATAACTATTATATTTATCATAAAAGATAATTTAAAAATTTCAAGAAGTTTTGCTTCCACGTTGATAAAAAAGTTTTTCAGCCACAAAATAATGTCATATCACATATTACATAAATATCAATCAGTGTTAATAACCTAATTTTCACCTTAATAGGAAGTGATATAAATGCTTTCAAAACAGAAGTCTTAAATTAATTTTATAAAAATGTCAACCTTCTAGCTATATGGATTTCTAGGGCGAGCAATAGTGAGATGAAATGAAGAAACACTGCAGTGCAGGAAATTGTTACAAGTCAAAATTTTGGGGCATTTGTATTGTCATTTCGTTGTGATATCCCCTCAAAAGAAGACAAAATCCAGCTCCATTTTCTTGAAATTCTACGAGTAACATATGGGGTCACTTTTGTAGTAGTATACTTTAATATCTTATTTCTATGTTCTCATGGCATTCTTGTGAATATAATTATGACTCAAATCGTTTTCCATCTTTGACTGGGTTTTCAAAGCCCAACGTGTTTCACTTCCCCGTCTTTGACTTGGTTATATACTCGACACAAAAATGGCTCTCCTCTACTCCTAGGTTATATTTATAACTTATAAGGATTAAATATTTTTTTTATATATAAAATGGCCAACATTATAGATTTGTGATTCTTTTAAATATTTTAAAAAATTTTGGGCTTGGAATTATTCGAAAAATTTTGAGAAATTTTGAATCAATCTTGACGAACAAGATTCAATCTGATCGAAATCTCTTGTTCTTCACTTTTCATTCAGCAATTGTTAATGGAAGAAGAATGAAAGAAAATTGAATAAAAAAGATTAGATTTGACAAAATAAGGGAAGGGGAGAATGATTTCTGCAAAAAGATTAGATTTGACAAAATAAGGGAAGGGGAGAATGATTTCTGCAGAGTAATTCTTTGTTCTCAAATTAAGAAAATATTATTTAACTGTGCAACTGCACTTTCTGTTGTGTGTTACAATATTATTCTCTATTCTTCTTACTAAAAACAGGGGTTACTCACTATGAGGGCAAATCCTCATATACCATACAAAACGCAATCATAGAAGAATCGGTTTTTGACTCTACCATCACAAGGCAAATGCATATCACATCTCTCATATCACTCTTGTGTGCATGTCATGCAAATCTACTTGCTATATTGAGTCCAACATATTTGGTAGATCATTGGTGGTATCTAGAAGTGTCGAAATCGCAAAAATAAGTATTTTTGCAAAATGACAGGGTTTGAGTCGACCACTCCAGGGTTCCGGTCGACTCATAGAAGGTGCCTAGAAAGTGCAATGTCCACTGGTTGGCGCACGCCGACCTATGGTCGACGCATACTGATGATATTTTGTGTTTGTCCAAAACTGCAGACTATGCGTCGACGCATAGTCCTGGTATGGTTGACCGTTCGCTTTGTTTTCTGCATAATGTGAAGACTTTCCATCTATTTTGAAAAGTGGTTCTGTCTGTTATGTTTGGCTTACTATAAATAGATTTTTGTTCATTCCTCAACAACAACAATTGAAACATTTGAGTCAATTGCATAAACAAGAAAAGTGAAATAGGTGTCATTTGTTCTCATCATCTTCATCTTCAACATCTCATAACACAACAATTACACACAACAATTCTTGTTGTGCATTGTGGTTTGTTTCAAGGCGGGTTTTTCTTGAATATAACCTTGAGGATTTTGTCCTCCAAGATTCGGTGAATTTGGGGGTTTTTGGTACGAGTCTTCTCGACAAACATTCAGCTGAGCAAAGGTGATTGAGGAGCGGTGAGTTTCGTCAATCTAGTAGCGGCAATCGATGAATCGTTAAGGAGAGGTTCGGGTTTGATTAGTTTGTGTTTGAGATCAGTCGGGCTGGGGTTTGAAGATCGCAAGGTTGTTCAACAAAAGGGCTGTAATCGGAGGTCTATTCACAACAATCGAAGGACTTGATTCGACTCGAATCAAGGAACAAGAAGAGAGAGCATTTTTTAACAACAAGAGACTTTGTTTGTATATTTGCTTGTCTATTCTTGTATAAACGTTTCAACTACAATAGGTGATATCTATAGTATATGATCTCAATTCTATTGTTAGAATTGAAGGCAGACGTACCACGAAGCGAGGACGGCGGGGGAACTGCCTCAACAAATCTTTGTGCCATTTATTTTCTGCACTTTCATTTTTGCTTAATAATTGAGTAATTTTTGTATAAACAATTCTATCAAATTTAGTATTGGTTTGAGCAAGTGCTGAACATTGTTTTTGAGTCTAGTACAATATTCCATTGTACAAGGAAGCTAAGAGCTACTTACTCAAGGCAAAACTCACTTGGAGTGCTATGCACGCCAAGTGTTTGATAAATTGTCTAAACAAAAATTCACTTCTGCCGTCCATATAATTTGTTGGCATTTTGAGGCATTGGAACTAGTCTTACTAATTAGTGATATTAATCAATTGATAGTGTGACTAATGTAGTGATTCTCTTTACTCATTATCATTTCCATAAGGCTAGACGTATATCCGGTCTTCTAATAACGGTTCGTTATAGAATGTATTTTTCCACGGCCGCTTCCGCAAACCAAATATTTTTAAAACCAACTTTTTAATTGGTAGCGCCGACTGATTTTTTAATTGGGATCTATTCAACCCCCTTCTAGATCCATGCCATCGTCTAACAAGTGGTATCAGGAGCACCGGTTCACTCCGTGCTTCAAGTATAACTTTGTAGAAAATGGATAACGAACCTAAAGGGGCTTATAATAGAGCTCACGTTTTTAATGGAGAAAATTACTGTTATTGGAAGGACTGTATGCAGGTGCACATTAATTCCATAGATAGAAAAGTGTGAAATGTTATTCTCAACAGTCCAATAGAAATAACTATGACCAATGCGAATAATGAGATTGTGCCTAAGCCCGAAGCACAATGGACCGATGATGATGAAAAGAAATATAATTACGATTGGAAAGCCAAAAATATTTTGATCTCCTCATTGTAAGTTGATGAATATTATAGGGTTTCTCATTGTCTAACGGCAAAGGCTATGTGGGACTCATTGCAAGTCGCCAATGAGGGGACCAATGATGTTAAGCTAGCGAGAATCAACACACTAACACACGAGTTTGATCTCTTTTACATGGAGCAAGGGGAAACCATTGCGGACATGCAAAAAAGATTCACTCATCTCATCAATAGATTGCATTCACTAGGTAGGCCAGTGGCCAATGATATTGCTACTAATAAAATTTTGAGATGTCTTAACAGGGAATGGCAGCCAAAAGTGACCTCCACCAAAGAAGCAAACGACCTTACAATTTTGGATCTCACAACATTGTTTGGAAAGCTGCAGGAGCACGAACAAGTTCTAAGCCTAGAGCAACATGAAAAGAAAGAAAAGATGGACAAAACAAAGATAACTGAAAAGAAATCCATTGCTCTCAAGACTTCTTCCTCAAAGTCTCAATCCAAGGAGCATAGTGATTACACGTCGAGTGACGACGAAGAAGATGACAAGAGTGAGGGCATGGGGTTGTTCGTAAAGCGTTACAACCGCTATGTGAGAAAGAACGACATTCAACACTCCAAGAAGAACCTTGTCAACTTCCGAAAGCAATCTAGGTACTCTAGAAATGATGACACTAAGGGGAATAAAACAAGAGGGTCATGTTACACCTGCGAAAAGACCGAACATTATAAACTGGATTGTCCCTTAAACAAAAAGGGCAAAGAAAAAGAATCAAATAAATCACATAAGAAGCAATCAAAGCCGAGGAGAGCATATATAGCTTGGGAAAGCGATAATGATTCCTCCGAGGACGAAAGCTCAAGTGATGAAGATGAATCCGTAAATTTGTGTCTTTCCGCTCACCAAAAGAACAAGAAAAAACAGGTACGACATGCTCAATATGAAAATTCCTCTAACATGTCTCATTTCGAATTACAAACTGCATTTAATACTTTGAATTGTGAAGCAAAAGAAGCCTTTAAAAGGCTTGCCTCAAATAAACAAATTTTTGTTCACTTAGAACAAAAGATCCATGAATCCGAAAGAAAACTCGAGGCACTTAAAGCTTCCATAGTGGAAAGTGCTAAAGCAGGTTGTGAGGATCTAAGGAGTAGAATAATTAACTATGGGTGTGACACTTGTTACATTTAGCAAAATGAAGTTAGAACCCTAAATGCCAAACTTAACAAGGCTCTCGAGCCCAAAATTACTTTTGCTATCGATAAATTTGATTTTAGAAAAAGTATGGTGAATCCATATCAAAAATACAAATATGTTATAAGAGATCAAGATAGCAAAGGCAATTCAAAAGTTAATTTTTCTTGTCTATATTGTTGCAAGATAGGTCACTCCATTGCTAAGTGCCTCTTTAGGAGATTTTTTTGTTCCTAAAGGCGTTTATCAATGGTTGCCCAAATGCGACCATTTTATCACTCACGACTTAGGACCCAATAAGCCATTGGTACCTCCTCTTGTTAATTGATTTTTCATAGGTACAACGT